TGGCTGTCATTGGGGAGATCACTCACAGCTAAGTCACTGTTTATAGGTGTGCACAGGTGACACGAGAGTATAGCCCTCCATAAAAACATGGCAGAGAAAGAATTTTACATTGAAATCAATGATAGCAGTAGAAGTTCAACTTCCAGTAGAAAAAAAAAGTTTATAAAACTTTATTCTTGGACAAAGTCAATTTTTAAAGAGGTTTTCTATCAGATTTGACAGATGACCAACTTAGACGATGCTGCAGAAGGACTGAACAAACACATATCCTGAAATGGTTTAAAATAGCTACTAGATGATAGCTGCTAGACTAGATGAAATAATGGATGTATTAACTGGTGTAACTGTGGGAGCTCTACCAGGTAAAAGAGAGAAGAAAAAACGCTTTAGCAGGACAGAAAGTGTCATTATAGAATCATACAGTCAGTCTTTGATGATATTGTTAAGGTTAGACAAGTACAAACTCAAAAAGAGAAGCAGTTTCATCAACACTCTTTCTCAGTCAACTCACCTGCTTCCCAAGTACACCCACCACCACCAGGGGGCAGCAGAACTGAGAATTTGTTAAAAATGCGTGTGTGAGAGAAGGTGAGAGACAAAAAGAGCAAAAGAAAGTATGTGTGCATGATCGTGCAGACAAATGTGTGTATTTGTGTGTGTGCCAGCCTTGTTTGTATGCTTGTGTGTCCCGACAAAGGCTCCATCCAGCCGTGCTGCAGAGGGCTGCTCGTTCCCAGAGATCCTCAGAGCTCCAGGACGCCCAGTCTCTGCGCTGCCTGCAGCCTAGACACAGCAGCCCAGACACGGACACACACCCTGCTGCTGCCCCCACCATCCCGCTTCTCCTGGAACACCTGTTTGGATTATTAATGGATGGGAAAAACAGAGGGAAGTTTTAAAGTGAGTAAATTGGGGGTGTTTGCAGTTTGAAGAGAAGAGATAACAGAGGACCCCTCTATCCTGGACCTCAAACTTGTAGAAAAACTGACTGGCTATCTTCAGAAACAGGCTTTTTCTATAACTGGAAATATTTTTAAACTGGGCAGAGTCTTATGAAACAGTTTCGAAGTAATCTTAGCATTTCTTTTTAGTTGATTTTTGACCCCCGTCCCCCCACACGCAATTTTATGGATTTCTGGACTTGCTCTATCTAATTGAAATTTATTGGAAACTTTGCCAACATACAAATTGTTGTTTTCAGTGGATTGGAAATTTCTGGGAACATTTCTGGATTTTTACTGAATTATTTACAGATTTCGTAGCAACAGGTCGTCCTGAACTCCTCTGGTTTGAGTTTAAAAGGAAACTGTCATATTACGTTTTGCATCATGGCTCTGTCAGTCGGTCTGTGGCTGTGTCTGTATCTGTTGCTGCTGCTTACTGATGCAAAGAGTGTTGGGCAACATGACGGGCAGCACAGCAATAATGATAAACCTTCCTCCCCTGTCGAACCAAAGCCCCTTTGGATTGGCAAACCGGTCAAAACCCAGGATGAATCTCACGTCCTTGACAAGAGCCTCCCCCTACCTGAGGTGCTGGACCTGGACCTTGACCGTAACCGCCGCCAAGCCCGTGGTGCGGATGAGGAGGAGCAACAGTCCACCTTTGGTGATTCCTTTGAAAATGAATGGGTTACAGCGCCTCAAGTTACTGAGTTCAGCAATAAAACGGCTACAGTGGTTCATGAAGATGACAACCTCCACACAAACAGCTCCAACACTGACCATGATGCTCCAGGACTTTTCAACCCCTTTTACCCCCTGATGGAGAGCTCATATGCAGCCTACGCCATCCTGTTCCTGGCCGGCCTGGTGCTGGCAGTGGGCGTAGTAGGAAACATGGCAGTCATGTGCATTGTCTGGAACAACTATTACATGAGGTCAGCCTGGAACTACCTACTGGCCAGCATGGCATTTTGGGACTTCCTGGTTCTGGTTCTGTGCCTTCCTGTGGTGGTCCTCAACCAGCTATCCCATAGGAGGATCCTAGGTGACATCACCTGTCGCATGGTGCCTTATATGGAGGTGGGTGTGGCTTATGTTAAAAAAGCAGGAAGTCAGTGTAATGACATAATTTGTTTTTCTTTTTTTTGTCCTATGAAGACTTAAAGGAGTATACATCTGCTGTTGGACAGCAGGCTGTATAAATACACATGTGCAGCAGAAATTTTATCCAAACTGCTGATGTAGAAAACATCAGCAGATCCAAAGATTAAGATTCCCTTTACAACTGTGTAAAATGACAACAAATATAAAAAAAA